GGAAAATGTCTTGCTGTCATGGTGTGTATTTAGCCATTGCTATTTATTTTGGAAGCTACAGGTGCTATTCATGTGGCTAGTTCAACTCCATACCAAAGTTTCTTTCCTCATAAAGCAAACCTGTCTCTTGAGGCACATGGCCCTAAACTTCACGATTAAGAAGGTCAGAGATGTATTTTGGATTTCCTGTATTTTTGTTCTACTGGCTTCTACTATCTTAACCAGTTTCTGGATCTTTTGAAATATTGTGTACTTAAAGTGATTCCACATTAAATATGAAGCTGTGACCATGATTTTTGCACTGTGTGGTGAAGAGTGATTTTGCAGTTTCTATTTTTTTCTTGCCCRTTTTCATGGATTATATTAACTAGGTAACTTCTAACTTCTATAAAGTTAAGAATGGAAAAAGACAATGTAAGAAAAAAAAAAGTGCATAACTGGTTTTGGCTTTAGATATTGCAGTGTGTGCTTAGGAGGGCAAACCTAAGAGTAGGCTGCAAACAAATAATCATTTTAATATCCTGCCTTGTTAATGCCAGCATTTCACATATTGGCACTTACTTACCTTTTTTTATTTAACATCATATGTGCTGAATTACAGAATAGTAGACCCCCTAGCTGTAATGTACAGCAGAGAAGTGGAGCAAGAGTTGGAAACCCTCAGAGCTTCCCTTGGAGGGCAGCCCTTGCCAGTGGGAGCTGTTCTGGTCGGAAGCTTCTTATTCCCGCCCTGGCTTGTCTGTCTAGTTCTGGAGTGTGTCATCCCTCTACATCTAAACACACCCACCCTGGGATGTTAATGGGCAGGATGGTTTCACACAGGTCTCTCTAAAGAGGCACTGCCAGAAGTGAACATAGCATCATCCATTTAATAGAACTATATGTATTATATATGAATGTTAATCCCATAGAAGCTCTCAAACGTGATGGGTGCATTGGAGTTTTGTTGTGGTTTTAGACCTGTTTCACATGTACAAAGTAGTTTACTAGTGCTTTAAAATCATTGTACCTAGTAACTTTGTGAGAGCTGGAATCAACCTTAAATATTCCTACTAGACTATGTACGAATGTGTATTTAACATCAGCGTTGCTTACTGGCTACCAGTTGCTGTTAGGCAATTTACACAATGCCCAGTCCATTTCTTTATTAAACAATTAGGACTTGTGTGGACAGCCCAAATGGATTTTATTGACATAGCACTAACAGAAGAAATTAAGGCATGATTGGTGGTGCTTTATCCGCTTATATTGTAGGTCTACAAAATGTAATAATAGATTAAACAAAAAGATCTGTCTTTTTTTTTTTTCTTAAAAACTAAGCCAAGGAGCTTTATGGAAGGGGGGAAAAAAAGCTAACAAATTAAATTTCTTTTGAAAGATTCTTCTATCTGCATGAGTTTTTTTGTTTGTTTATCTTTATCATGGTTAGATTATGGCCTTAGCTCAAACAAGGTAAGAGGTATCTGCTACTTTTTTAATTCACCAATGTTTTGTTTTACATATTGTAATATTCTCTTAAAAGTGTAGCATAATTTCAGTGCTTTCTTACAGAGCCAAAGGCAGACAGATTTTGGTAGGAAAATGTCTGCTCTTCACAATTTTGTGTGTGTGTCTGTAATCTCAATATTTGCATTTTCCTAGAGATAATAATAAGTAGTCTTTGAGTGAATGACAACTTTGAGAGGAAAGGGAAAAGAAACTAGAGAAAACCCTGAAGAAAGAAAACAAGGAAGGTTCATCATTGGAGATTTGGGAATTGAAGCTAAATGAAAAAGGGAAGAAAAGGTATGTCAAGCTGTAAAACACGGCAAGGTATGGTTGCAACAAGCAACTGTGAACTGCAAAAGGCAAGTAGTGCAGGAAAGTAATGAAGAAAGTCCCATTTCATGGGCAAGAGCTATGGGCTCATGGGCAAATCACTTAGGAACAAGAGGACAGAGACCTCTCCCATGTAATTCTTGTGCAAATAGATGTGTKTTTTTTCATTCTTGCACCCTTTCTTTTGCAGCTGTGCTGGGTGCTTCTGATGTCAAGGGTGATTTCAGGTTAACAAATGCAGATTAAGCTTCCTCATGTGGCTGTGGTAAATCATCAACCAGCATTGGGGATGCTTTAATTAACCTCCCTGCTCCCTGGCACATTCTGAGGTATATCTGGAAGAATGGACCCCTTCTGAGCTGCATGGATAATTCAGAGCAGATATTCCTGGAACTGCCAAAAGCAGAGGAGTTTCCCAGGGAATAATGAAGCAAAGGGAGAGAAAACAGATCAAATACCAAGGGCTTGGACTGAGGTCCACATGAGAAACAATTCCTCAGCCCCTCTGCTGTTTTACGTTCTCTCTCCAAGGAACAGGACTGTCCACTGTCTCTGCAAATGTCACTCACTATCAGAACAGAGCAGATTTGATGTACTTCCATGGAAAAAAATGCTCTGGAGTTCTGAAAGTGCGGATGAGTCCTGGAATCCCGGAGACAAATGTTTCCAAATATCCAGCTGATATTCAGACTCCCGTGTGAACATCAGCATGGATGGGKTTTTTTTGACTGTATAAAGTTTGGTCAAGAAACTTTCCAAAAACCCAGATTTAAAAGCCATCAAAATTCTGGAGAAAAATATTCTAGCAAGTTGAAGACAATTACYGTGAGGGAGGAGTGTGTTTTATCAGATTTCCTTTACTATTAACTAMCATAAAACACCCATGACCCTCTGAGTGAGGGAAGGACTGAATGTTGAAGAGAGTTGTTTACGGAAGTACGAAAGTGATGCACTGTTTGTTGCTCCTGCTTGCTGATATCAGAAATACCATATACCCACTTRCATTCTCCTTCTTTTCTGCCTCATGCTTCTTCACATGTTTCTCTGGATTGCAGGTTGAGAAGAAGTGAGGGCGAGAGGTGAGCCCTGGAGTAAGGACATCTCACACGTAGCCATGGTGCAGGCGCTCTCCTCACCGAGATGGGCTGTGACTCACCCTTGGGGTACTGCTAACAAGTCACCCCAGCTCCACACAGTTGGTATTCACCCCCTTTGGGAGTATGCAGAGGTTCACCACCCCACATCATAGTGCACATGTTTGTGTGTGCACACACACATACACTCGTGCTTGATTCCAAGAGAGCTAAGAGAAGGTGGGGAACTTCCATAGGTCCTGTGGTTTTTGTGCTTGAGGCCTCTGCTTCCTTGGTGATTAGAGTTATTAATTGCTCACTTCCTCTTCTCCCACTTAAAGCCAAGAGCAGGAGGTCTTTGACATGTTAGCTGTGTTTTCTTCCCTCGGTTTTCACAGCTCTCGTAGCAGTTGCTTTGTTTTCCATTCACRAGTTCAAAACAGGCAATTCCTCAGTATTTCTCTGTGACTAAAGCAAACACCGTTTGCGGGGGAGCTCCCAGACCAATTCACTCCTGGAGCGAAAGGCAGCAATTCGGGGAGGAATTGGGCACATCCTGTCACAGGATAAGATTGAGTCACCGGATGGTGCAGGAGTCACAGTGGGAGGTTTCAGCCAAGGAAAAGGGGGTATGCAGCTTCTTTCCTGTTATCGGGGGGGGGGGGGATTTTTTTCCCAGTTCTTGGTAGGGCCGCCCCTTCCACAGGACACTGCCCAAGGAAGTCAGGATCTCTCAGCAAGAAATAGAAAACTTCACTTAAAAATAACATTTGTCATACACCTAGTTAATAAAGAACTGTGCACCACAGACAAACCATAAAAGGTTCATCTGTGTTAGCGTTACACAATCTCTGACTATATACTCAGTAAGTTTGAATGGAAATAAACTGTTACCTTGAAGTTTACTAGGAAGGTACCAGACTTGGAAGAAATCTAAACCAAGCTTGGAAAATAGTTCCCAAAGGCTGCAGGTGAAACTCTTAATCGGGAATCCAGGACTAAAAACACTGCCTTAGAGACCCTTTTTACAAATGTGTGTGTGTGTGTGTGTGTGTGTATGACTTCTAGTAGGAAATTATCTTAACTTCTGTAAAGCAGAGACACCCCCTGGTTGTTTATACACGTATCCATGTGCATTTCTCATTTCCAATTCTCATTTCTCATTTCCAATTCTTTCTCTGGATGGTTTCCAGTAACTTTATTCCAGTAACTTTATTCCAACGTAGTCTTAAGTCTTCTGCATTTCCAGCATACTGATTTCAGATACTTTAAGGTTATCTCCTCCTGCCTCGTCCACTCAGGCCTGAGTGGAGTTAACCAGGGTGAGGGATCCAAGGAGCCAATGATCAATATTTGCCTTTAAATGAGAAGACAGAGAGTAGAAATATAGATCTTAGATATAGAGATATAGAACAATGTAGTCTTTTCTGTTTGCTCAACACCCAGGAATGGTTTTTAACGTCTGGTTTATGTATTAATGCATCCAACCTGTGCCAAAACACCCACAACATGCAGTGAGCTGCACCCTGGCCCCTCCGGGCACCCCTGGGCCTCCCAAAAGGGCTGAGGTTGCAAAGTGCAYGGGCAGCACGAGGGAGCAGACACAGATGGACACCTAGACCATGGATACACGTCCGTGGGCAGCTGGTCTCAGTGATGGCCAAGATGACACTCTTTCCTAGATCTCCTCCATAGGACTCCTGAGGAATTACAGGGAAGTAATTCTTCCACTACGAACAACTGAACTAACAGCTTTGACTTGACTCTAGACCATTCAGACCCCTCCAAAGAGCGTCTCCATCTCCCAAACAACATTTTCAACCCTGGAGGACACTAAGCCAGGTCRCAAGCTCAACTTGGATCAGGAAAGCAGAAACACGGAATAAAGCCCACCAGTTTCCCAGAGCCAAGACAATCCCGAGATGGAGGAATGCCAAAAGGGAAAAGGGGAAAYACAACCTGAAGTTAAGAGGATCTGGGATAGGAAACTGATAGGAAAGCTGAAAATGGTTCCATTGTGGCTCCCCTCCATCAGCTGTCCCCACCAAAGCCTGGGCACAGCTGAGCATTCAGCCCAAAGAATTACTCAAATTAATGGCACGTGAGTTTTTTAAACAWAGCAACATCTCTCCGCGGGAGGAGCTGAGTTAGTCTGTGAGATTCCCTCCTGCTGAATGCTTTAGAGGTAAACACTGTGATTATATTTTTAGAAAGAATGCAAAATATCAGGATTGCGTTTAAAAAAAAAAGAGAAAGCCACTGATAAGCCAATTCACTGAGGGCAGTGAAAGGCCATATTCTCTTCACTGGTCACAGATGAGGTAGTATCTTTTTCTAAAAAAAAAAAAGGTTTTTTGTACAGTTGTGTGACTGTCACTATCATAAATTCACAAATAAAATGCTGGGAATGATGAGAATGTCAAAATCAGACAAGATTCATAAAGGARAGGCTGTAGATGGCTGCAGGAGATGGCAAGGGGAAGGAGGGTGCTCACATGGGCTAACTTTCGCCTAGTAAAGCTCATTCTGAAGGTTTCCTGAGTRTCATGCAGGCTCTTGAGGCTGCTTCTGGCCGAGGAGCTTCTTTAGTTGCCCTGATTTCCTCCAAAAGGAGCCTGTTTTCTCCCTGTTCTCTGGAGAGGGGCTCTGAGGAGAGATGAGGTTTCTGGGCTGATGCTGACTTTGCTTCCACTCTGCAAGCTGCATCCCCAATGACGCTGGGATCTCCCTTCTCATGCGGCCCTCAAATTCCCCARAAGTGCCTCCGAGCTCTGTCCCAGCGGCTCAATCCCAGGTAACTTGGCAGCTGGGGGAGCGAAGCGGGGGAAGGAGCACGTCCYGCTCTTGCCCAATGCCCCGGGGAGCCGGCCCGGAGCTCCACGGCTGCTCGGGRGACGCAGAGCTGCAGCTCCGTGCGGCAGGACAGGGCTCCTGGATGCAGGGCCTTTTAGAGGAGATGTTGGAAGATGAATTCCCATGTGCCGTGTGGGAATCAGGGCTGCTTCTGCACTTCCCACCCATGTGCGAGGGGTTTGGCCAGCCCTCCGAGTGCCCCTTCCTCCCCAGAACATGCTGGAGGTAATGTCACATGTTTAAAAATATGGGGTTTTTTTTTGTTTGTTTGTTTTTTTACTGTTATTCCCTCTCCCTGTGTATTTTGACACACTGGAAGCACCATCCCCATGTTCCTTGGCCCAAAGCTGTTTCGCCACCCACACTTGTGCCTCACACAGCTSAGAGCAGCTCGTGGGGCAGGGACCATGTGGGAGACGCGGCGACCGTGGCTGCAAGGATGGCCGCGAGCTGCGCAGGAATTCATCCCTCCCTTTCCCTGTTTTTGAGCAGAAGATGATTACAACAGAAGACTGCTCGCTTTGCAAGCCTGAAGTTGAAACGAGGGAAATTCATTTGTCTCTGCATTACAATACTTACTTCAATTTATTTTTACAAATGCTGCCTCATGACTCCCCGTTCCTCTTTTTCCTTCCTTTTAATTTTCCTGTGGAGTGGGGTTTGGAGCAAAGAGTAACAGAAAGGGGGGGGGGGGGCGAGTAGCTGCTCGTCATTCATATGTGGAGGAGGCATCAATTTTCACATCCCATGGCCTACCAAAACTGGCACAGCATGTGCTAATYTGGGTTAAAATTACTTCCATAAAGCCAACTTCCCAGGCAGCCAGGCAGTGCGGTTGCCACCCGTCACTCAGATTGCTGTAACTTTGCTGGCTGCACAGGCGGCTCGGGTGTTTGTTCTGTTCCTGGAGAAGGGCCAAGCATTTAATGTACCCGCGATACCCGCAATGCGAGCAGCACATTAGCCGCTCTGGTCACACGGTGCCCCGGGGCGCGGCGACACAAAGACCCACACACACAATTTGGCGGGAAGCCGGCGCGCGCTCCCGCCGCCCCCGCGCGCGCTCCCGCCGCCCGCGCCCAGAGCGCCCCCCTGCGGGCGGGGCCGCGCGCTGCGCCGCTATTGGCCGCTTCTCACCAGGAGCGCCGCCCTGCGCGAGGCCGGGAGCGGGGGCGGGGGCAGCGCGCTGAGTGACGGCGGCGCTGCCCAATGGCGACGCTCGCCGCGGGGAGGCGGCGTCCTCGAAATGGCCGCCGGGGCGCGGGGGGCGGCGCCGGCGAGGGGCGGTGTCGGTTACGTGCGCCGGATGCCGGCGCGCGCGCCCCCGCTGGCCGCCGGGTCCCCCCGGGCGCGGGCTCGCCGAGGAGGAGCCCTGGGAAGCGCCGCCGCGGGCCGGCGCCGCCGCGGTCGGACGGGAGGCGGCCGGAGCC